AATTATCAAGTAAACCAGACTCACAAGAGACCCCTGAGAAACGAAAATTGTCTATAGATACTATAACCAACAATTCCAATGCAAAAAAGATAGTTCTAAATCGCAAATCTGTATTGGAAGAAATAAAGAATGACCAAATGGAGAAGAAGGAAAATAAAGGAGCGAAAGTGATCGAAAATGATGACGCCCCGCCGGAGAAAAAAATTATTAAACTATCCGAGCTCAGCACAAAAGAGGTAGCTAAAAATTATATTATTCTTATCCATTAGAATTTAGATTACCAAGTAATAAAATTCATTTACTTCAAACACACGATACGAACGCGCTTGTTTTATATTATATTATTTATTAATACATGAGTGTATTAATTCTTTAATAGAGATTGGAAATGAGAGCTAAGAAATTTGGAATGCCATTATCCGAGGCGGCAAAGAAGGAGGCTAGATTAGCTCGTTTTAACGTAAATAATCAAAATAATAAATCGGCTGCATCCATAAAGACACCCGTGGTAAGCAATTTATAGTTTACGGTATAGTTTATGTTATTAAAATAAAATAATAATTTATAGAATTATTTTTTATGACAATTATCAATAAATTTTTCATAGCCTACTACATATGAAGTATTGAAGAAACGTGCAGAAAGGTTTGGTACTTCAGTATCTACTTTGATGGAGAAGGTAAGCAAAAATAGAGTTAGGGCCATGACACAGTAAAACTTAAATAGAAGCTTTTTACAATAAGCCATTATCTAATTTTTAAGTCTTAAGCCATAAGAAATTTGTTAATTACAATCGAATGTGAGAAGAACAATCGATATAATCGATAGGTTCTTACGGCTTAAATTTAGATAATGATTTATTGTAAAAAGCCTTTAAGCACTAAGGAAATCAATATGTTGGATTCGCCATTGTTTACGTTATGACTAAGATCTATTGTGATTAATCGATTTATTTATTGTTTATGTTTTACTGTTTCAAGTTTTTTTGTATGTCATGGTTCTTAACTATGCAAATATATACATATATTTTGAAAACTTAGGATGTCATACTATAGCATAGATTTTTCCCATAATATCTCATGTAATTAATTAGAGGCGTTACGTAAAACTCATTTCCATATGGGATGTATTACATTCGCTATCAATGAATTGCAACTTTTGCTATTTCTGTTGAAATAATCTAAAAAAATATAAAGATATGATTGGTTATTATGTATTCTATCGAATTTTTTCATGGAACATACGGAAATTGAGTTCCATACACATAACAGTTGTTTGTCATAACAGTTCCATTGACATAACAGTAAACGTGTAACATCTCTAATTACATTACGTAAAAAATCATAGGACGACACTTACATTTACTTTTACCAACATAAATTAACTATAATCTCTGTTTAACTTACTTTTCACTTTTAGATTCTTAGAACTAAGAAAAAATAAAAAGTATAATTTTATTATAAAGTATAGTTTTATTTCATATAAAAAGTACGTTACACTAAGATTAAAGTCCACATTGGTAAAGACGGACATTAGGGCGATTTTGAAACTTCAATTACTTAAATCGACAATTAACTCTATTAACAAAAATTACAGAATTGCTTAACACAATCTCTAATATACAATCTTTAATATTCGTTATTTTTAATCTTTTTTTGATATATTGAATATAATTCTAATAACTAATATAAGTTTTATATTTGTATTGCTCTTAATAAAATAGTTAATTAATTTAATCAGAGTTTTGATCGCCTTTATATATATCATTTTTCTATCACACTGATTTTATTTTAAATCTTTTGTTTCTTTTAGGTTGAGATGGCTGAACGATTGGAGAAAAGAAAGGCCAGATTCGGTGAAGTGAAACCTGAGAATAAACTATCTAAGAATAATTCTAAGATTAAGATTGTTAAATGATACTCGGTGTTATATACTAAATCAACGATCTAGATTACAAAAATTTAATTTAAGTCTTATTTTGAATAAACAATTATACACACGAGACAGGAGAATAATGACTCATTGAAGATAATGTATAATACTTTTTAATACCATTATTACTTCAATATTAAAGCAGCCATACTTTTTTTCCTTCATTTTTTTTATATTACCTTATCACATGTGAATTTCTTATAAGAAGATAGGCGACAGAAATCTTAAAAATGTAGATGGATGTATTACATTAATAAACTCACATATGCAACAGTATTTTAATCGTAGTTATCGATACAAAGAATGTTATTTAAAATTTCAGGATTTTAGGATTACAAGTGTGAAAAAGGTATGCAAATGTATAATATGCATACGTGATAAAAAATGTATAAATTATAACAAGGGCTGCGTTTTAAATTTATTGCCACTGAAAATGTTACAGTTACGTTATGAGCATTATAGATTTTTAGTACTGGCAGTAAATTTTGGAACATAGTTATAGAACAGTGTATTGTTTCTCTGATCAATAAATATAATGTATCTTATTTTGAAGGTTTCTCTCTGACTATATTCTATTATACTATAATCAAGTAGAACCAAAATGGTGGTAGGAATATCTACATATCTAATGCCTTAGTATATACAGGACGTCCAGCGAGACTATTGCAATAACTCAGGAAAATAGATGGCATTAAACTGAGTCGAAAAGTCTTCTATCATTTTGCAATTTTTGCAATAGTTAACAGATTATTAATTACTAAAAATTGCCAAATATAGATCTTCAACAACTTTTTTCTCAAATACTATCAACTTTACAGAAAAATTGCAAAAGACAAAAATTGTTTATTTTATTCTCGTAGAATTTTTAAGAATTTTTTCAGGATTTTTTTTATTGACTTTTTAATATTACTTTTTTTATTGGCAACTATATTTTACCAACTTGAGAAAATATAATATTAAAAAATTCTGAAAAAATTCTCAGAACTTTATCATAGTGCTAATCAGAGAGATAATAGTATTGTTTATTAGCACCAGAGAGCTAGTATAATATATATATATAAAATACAAAAAATAAAAAATATAGCGATGGTTTAGAACATGTATAAAAAATTATTTTGTTAAGAGACAGTATTTTTTTATCTGTGCTCTAATGGAGATGTATGGAAATGTATATATTATTGTATGTATATATATAAGATAATTACAAAAATCTCACTTTTTTTTATATAAGTACTTTAAATATTCAAGCTGTATTATGTAAAGTTTTACTGGAATGCAGAAATTGCATTGTTATATTCTGTAAATAAACAAAATATTTTAGGTTGAAACTCTTGACTTTATTTAAATTTTTGTATATATAAAAATTTATAATTACAAGCACATATAATTAACTAGCTTGGTTCATCAATTCTTTTTTAAATTTATTTTATTGTTAACAAAATATATTAAATTCCCTTATTTACAAAACATCTAATTCTTGCAGTCGGAATGAAACTTAAATAATTGCATTTTATAAATATACAAAAAAATTTGGATATTAATTTTAACATTATATGCTGCTTTTCAAATTTTAATATTGTAATAAGAAAATAATAACAAGTAAGTGAAGTAAAACTGTAAAAATGTGTTTAATAAAAATAAAATACTTGAAACACAACTTTCATATGTATATAGTTTATATTTAAAATATAAATATTAACACATTTGTAAAAATGGGTAATATAACCTTAATATTAATATTTTTAAGCAAAGTAAACATCACGCACAGAGATGAAAATTTCTGATCCACAGTTTGTAAATGTAGCACGATTATACGAACCAAATATCGATTTATCATCTGCAGCCTTGAAAAGTGGACGTATGTACCCTCAGAAAAGTGGATCTTGCTATGTAGTTTACATTCACTTTGTCAGGGGACAGCATTTTGCAATTACAGGTTTTTTGGGCTGTCATATCCTCTCTCAGGTTTCTCTCTGGTAATACCAATTAGGGGTATGTTCGGATTCCTTTGGGTGCTCTCCAGGCATCATGCCATCCTTTGATGCGTTGAAAATCTATAGCGCACGTAACGTATATTGTATAATTTCAGCACTGGCAATGAATATCGAAACGCATCCCTTGTTTATGAACTTGTTGTTGATTCCGCTTGCGCTCATTGCGCTCCATGGAGATAAAGGGATTCGGAACCGCGTAACGAAAACTGCGAAACGCTCGTGATTGGTTCTGCTCTCGTTCTGCGTTCCGTTATTCCGCTGCATGGATTTGCACCTTGATACCTGAGTGGCACTCGGGTGAGAATTTGAACATACTTACCCAGAGGGAAAGTCGTAGAGATCTAGAAATATCTAGAACCTCTCTGCGAAAAATTTAAGGATCTCTCACACAATTGGTCACCTACACCATCCTTAGTATAGGCATAATGTGTATATATATATATATATATATATATATATATATATATATTGTAGCATAGAGGAGGGGGGGTTTATTTTTGTTTTTGTATATTGT